GGCGGCTCCCCGCTTATGCTAATGAAGCCCGGGAAATTCAAATCCCAGGCTTCATTAGCAAGTGCGGTATGCATACATTACCCCGCTAGTTCGAACTAGGAGGGTAGTGTAGACATACCCTTTGTTCTGCAAAAAAAAACAACCAGGAGTTCTGTGGCACCTGAGACACTAAGGGTACATCTATGCTCCAGGCAACGTAAGCTACACAACTGATGTAGCTGAAGTTGAAATAGCCGAATTCGGCTTTGGGCGCTGCCTACGCAGCAGGAAGTCGAAGGAAGAGTGTTTGTTCTTCCTTCGACTTCCCTCACTCCTTGTGAAACGAGGGTCACAGGAGTTGGTGGAAGAAGTCCTCCAGCTTGACATTATTTCGAGATAACGCCTTGTTGTGTGGACACGCTCTGTCATTTCGGGATCACGTCAGTTATTCCGAAATAATGCTGCTGTGTAGACGTGCCCTAACGCTTATTTGGGCATCAACTTTCATGGGTAAAACCCATTTTGTCAGGTGCATCAGCGAAGAGGCTTTGAGCAACGAACAGCGGGGCCCCAGCACAAGCGGGGGACTGGCTCTGCGCCCCCAGAAGGGTGGGGCCCTGGTCTTAACTGAGCGCTGCTTCTGCCCTGAGCTATTAGCTACACCTCCGGGATTTCCATCCGGAGACTCCGCTGTCGTTTCGTAAGGGCGAGCGGTAGGGCCTCCCTGGCATGGGCCATTAGTAACAAATATTTGCGGCACAAGCACCAAGCATGGAGCCGACGTTGTGGGAGGCCGAATGCCTCCGTTTGGCAGGGGGCTCCCGCCAGCTCCCTGGAACGCACCCAGGACTCGAGCAACAGCTTTTCCTGTGAGTTGTGCCTGACGCGGAACAGGCCGGTAAAGGCTGGGCCCCGATTCAGCACGCGCACTCTCTGCAGGTGCAGAAACTAAGGAGGGGCGGCCGGAGGTGCATGTGCAATTTGGTACCTTCACAAGCCCAGGCATGCAGAGGCCCAGCCAAAACTGCCCTTCTGGATCCCGAAGCGCCTCTCCAGGAATCAAAAGGCCTTTGAAACCACGTCTCCCTACTTGCGACCAGCCCCCTTACCATCCTTCCTGGGCACTGCAGAAATGCTACAGGCTTGGCTGCGTGGGGCCAGGGTCTCTTCTGCTGGACCGTGGACTGGAGCAGGGATATTTCCCACAGAGTAGCTGGACTCTTGATTTCTCGACCTGTCGGTCCTGTTCATGCTGGGCCCCTGTAGCGCCAGGCGACTGCCTGCCCGCAGGGAGATCCTACAGGAGAGAGTCACCAATGAGCAGGGTTGGAAGGGACCTCACAGGCCATTGCGTTCAGCTCCCTCTCCTAGGGTGGATCCAAATCCCCTTCAAGCCAAAGGCCGTCGGCCCCAGCCCCAGATCAGGGTGGTACACCCACTCCGGCCTGGAGGGTTGGAGCTCATCTCGATGTGAGCGACGTTCCCCGGGGCCGGGCTCTTGTCGCTCGTCCTGCAGCTAAACGCCACGTGAACCCTGAGAGCCCCCAGCAATGCTCCCTCCTCGCCCAGCCCCAGGGCCAACCAGCCAGCCAGCAGGCAAAGCGCTTCTGCAAAAAGGGCCCGGGCTTGCCGGTGGGCTCCCAAGGGGAGAAAAGGGGCGCTGGAGCCTCAAACACGCCCTCCCTCCTCGTAGCCAGAACCCGCCCGGAACACAGGCGCCCCCTAGAGGCTCCCTCAAGGAGCTCCTCCCACACGACGTCGCGCCCTTGTGTTTCTGCCCGGTGTCTGGCCGGCTCTCCCCTCCCTCACAGGACTGCCTCTTGCTACCTGCAGAGCCACCGTGCTCCCGCCTTCCTCAACCCTGGCACAGGAGCCTTCCCCCCTCCAATGCAACACCCACAGCTTGTCGTGGGTCCAGCCGTTCTCCTCCATCCTTCCCACGGCGGCAGGGCTAGACGGGCCTCGCTGCTCAGTCAGGTCGCTGAGTGCTCCTGTCGGATGCCAGCCTCATGCCTCCCCTCTCCTCGCGTGGAGTCCTGCGATTGCCCTCATTTGCCCCAGAGCTCTGCGTCTCGGCCTCACCCAGCTCCTGACTCGCGGTGCCCTGCGTCTCCGCCCCGCTAAGCCAGCGGCCCCACCCAGCTCCTGACTCGCGGTGCCCTGCGTCTCCGCCCCGCTAAGCCAGCGGCCCCACCCAGCTCCTGACTCGCGGTGCCCTGCGTCTCCGCCCCGCTAAGCCAGCGGCCCCACCCAGCTCCTGACTCGCGGTGCCCTGCGTCTCCGCCCCGCTAAGCCAGCGGCCCCACCCAGCTCCTGACTCGCGGTGCCCTGCGTCTCCGCCCCGCTAAGCCAGCGGCCCCACCCAGCTCCTGACTCGCGGTGCCCTGCGTCTCCGCCCCGCTAAGCCAGCGGCCCCACCCAGCTCCTGACTCGCGGTGCCCTGCGTCTCCGCCCCGCTAAGCCAGCGGCCCCACCCAGCTCCTGACTCGCGGTGCCCTGCGTCTCCGCCCCGCTAAGCCAGCGGCCCCACCCAGCTCCTGACTCGCGGTGCCCTGCGTCTCCGCCCCGCTAAGCCAGCGGCCCCACCCAGCTCCTGACTCGCGGTGCCCTGCGTCTCCGCCCCGCTAAGCCAGCGGCCCCACCCAGCTCCTGACTCGCGGTGCCCTGCGTCTCCGCCCCGCTAAGCCAGCGGCCCCACCCAGCTCCTGACTCGCGGTGCCCTGCGTCTCCGCCCCGCTAAGCCAGCGGCCCCACCCAGCTCCTGACTCGCGGTGCCCTGCGTCTCCGCCCCGCTAAGCCAGCGGCCCCACCCAGCTCCTGGCTCGCGGTGCCCTGCGTCTCAGCCCCCCTGTGCCAGCGCCCTACAGGGTTGGCACCTGCAGTTCTTCCCCTGGGGGGTCGGAGCAGTGGTAATAGCAACCAGAGAGCATCCTTAAACTAACAGGCTGTGTAACGCGCAGTGTCCGAACAGAGCACAGCAGGAGAAAGGCAGCCTTCAGCCCTCGGAGCGGAGCACAGTCACTCCCTCAGACAGCTCCCCTGGGCTTGCAGTCCTTCCCCGGCCGTGGCTCTCAAAGCAGGCGGGGCCCGGAAGGTACGGTCTGCGGAGTTAACAGCTCGGCCATTAGCCCGTAACCACTGTAGACGTTTGCCGGGAGATGTCTTATCGCAAACCACCGAGGGCTTGTCTACACTGCTACACAGAGGGGCTGACAGCCCGCGAGGGGGCCTGGAAGGGCAGGGCTCTGGCGGAAGAGACCAGGCTGGGCAGTAGCCCTCCATGCCGCACAGAGCACGTGGCAGATATTTAGAGTTCAAAGAAGCGATCAATGGATTCATGGAGGGTAGGTCCATCAGTGGCTGTTGGGCAGGGTGGTGTCCGTGGCCTGTGTGTGCCCGGCTGGGAATGGGCGACAGGGAGGGATCACCAGATGGTTCCCTGTTCTGCTCACTCCCTTGGGGGCACCCAACACTGGCCACTGTCAGAGGAGAGGACGCTGGGCGAGAGGGACCTTTGCTTTGACCCAGCCTGGCCGCTCGGATGTTCTCTCCTGGCTCCCCTTGCGTGCCATGCCCTGTACACTTCCCTCCCTGCGCGCCTAATCCCTTGTCTTTTAAAAGCTATTTCCCACACTGATTTGACGACTGACGTTTCTACGACTTCCTGAGCTTCAGCCATTCTGTGTGTCAATGCGAGTCCAGTGAGTTCTGTACCCAGGCCGTGACGCGCCACGCTGCGCAGTCCACGCGTGAGACCAAACCACGAGCTGCCGACTCACAGCAGTGAGGAAGCTTCCCACCCACGGTGCCCCCAGGAAGACGCTCTGAGGGGCAGTACAGTGGAGGTGAACCACGGGAGCCAAGGCCACCATTAGTGCAGATCAAGTGTTTCATGTCTAATTAGAAATTAACAAAAGAGGCAACTAATGATTTTTCTAGATGTGAACACTAATTTGGCAACATGTTTATTATTTTTAGAAAAGATGCTGCTTGTGCTTCATGTCCTATTCGTGAGAACCGTTCTTTGGCAGCCACTGAGTAGGGCCTGGCGCCAGTGGCGCGCACCGCACGGAGAGAGACCGCGGCAGGCTGCTGGGGTTTGAGGAGACATCACAGTGCTAGAATTCCTCGACTCTGGCTAGACTCCTAGGACTACACGAGAAAAGCAACAGACACATTTGCATGAGCACGGCTCTGTGTCTAGCAAACTTCTGCAACTCGCTGCCTGGCCGAAGACTGACGACGTGCATCAAGTGAGTCCCCAAAGTCCGGCGAGGTGCTCTGTGACCCTGCAAAGCCACTGCAAAGTGACTTCAATTCCAAACAACACAATTTCACAGCCATTCTTTTCGCTCATTGTGATACAAACCCACAGCATGTATGTAAAAGTCAGTCAGTTAAGAACACAAACCCTTATCTGGCATTTTCAAGACCTGTCTACATGTAGAACTACGCCAGGCATAGCCGTGCTGGTAAGGGTGCAGCTTGTTTGGGTTTTTTGCATCTGCATAGCTAGGGCTGTATAAGCCCCAGTGTACACACTTACGCTAGTGAAGTTAAAATGGTTAATTAGCTAAACGATAGCACTTATCCGGTTAACTGTTTTAAGTCTGTAAAAAAATTTAGTTATCCGTAAATTTTGTAAAATTCCATTGCCTAGTCTATTAGCTGATTAATCGAAATGTAACGTCCTAAATTTCGTAAAAGTGCAATACAATTTCAAAAAACAGCAATTATTCTATAGCAATTAAATTTCTTCTGTGTTGCTTCAGCCATTTTACTGCGGAGCAGCGGAAATTGGGCTTTTTAGTTGTTTATTTAGCTCAATGATCGAGGTGTCTCGATTTCCATGTCTGGCAAGATTTGCAAAAACAATCTTAGCACTTCTACATGGAACTGCAGAAGTGGAACGCATTTTCTCAGCTGTTAATCTCGTCAAAACAAATAGAAAAAATAAACTTTCCACTGTTATGCTTGAAGGATTAATAACGATCAGAAATGGATCTGGGACAATTACTTCAGCCATAGTTAACAGAGTCAGTGTTAGGATGTACGATCACAAAATGGAAAACTTCCAGGACCATGACTAACTACATGAAAGTGAGTTAAATAGCATATTGTTCTTGTGATGTATGAATGACAATGATTACTTTTCACTTTGGGCCATTTATGTCATCTTAATATAGCATAAAAATTATGTCCGTAAAAAAATTGTCTGTTCGTAAATTTTTCCCATTTAGTCCGTAAATGAAATTTCTGTGGGTTGGCAACCTTGGAGCTAGCACCATTCCATTTGGGAGGCAGCCTCCTCTTGCCCTAGCGTAAAGCTCCGCAGTCTGGCAGGCAATAGGGAAGTACGATTGGTTCACTACTTTACACTGATAGCGTTTCATTTGGTGCAGCATCTTCCAAACAGCCTGCAAAGCACTTTGCAGTTAACTGCAAGGCAGAACCCTCCACTTGGACTTCCCTGCTGCGCATCCAAGCATTGTGCTTTTCTGGGACACCGGAAAAAGGAAAATAGACTCATGGAACGAGGTTTACCGGTAGTTCGGATTAGAGAGCCTAATCCGAACTACCTACTCCGTGCTGCGTGTAGCTGCGGGCACGGAGTCCGCACTACCGGGGCTTTAAAAATGGCAGCACCCAGCAAGATGCAAATGAAGCCTGGGATATTTAAATCCCAGGCTTCATTTGCAACTTCGGTTGCCTACATTAACCACCCTAGTTCGAACTAGGCTGGTAGTGTAGACATACCCTCTGTTTGGTCTGCTGTGCTCCTCTGGGCGCCACAAGGGGGGCCTTTCTAAAAGCAGCAGCAGCAAATACATGAACACGACCCCAGCAAACCAATCTGTGCAGTAAATTGCATCCAACTAAGCAAGAGGGGAAAACTGGCTTTTCCATTTGCCACACATAAAAGCGTCTCAAAACCCACCGTTCTTTAGCCACCCAGCCATAGCTGCGATGTTTGGGACCAGTAATATCGAGGAGGAAGGTTTTTGTCTTACAGTGACTCCATGTTATGCTGAGCGTAAGCCACCGTCACCTGAAACCAGTAAGCGGAGCTCTCTCTTCACAGAGAAAACGGCCTCAAACGTGACTGGTTACCAACCTGAAGTGAGTGTTCCTCACACGCCTGCACAGTTTGCACACACAGTGCCACTGACGTCTGAGCTCCTGCATCTTCAGTCCCATGTTTTTACTGCCAATGGTTATTCCAAATGTTACTATTTAAAGAAATAGTACATCAGCTTTGGTCTTCTAGAGGCCTGCCCTGTAATGGTGCCCTTTTCCGTTGTTAGCCTTTTGTGTTGTGAACATTACACAATCACAAATTGCACAACACTCTCTCTCGTATGCTTCATAATTCTGGCCAACAAATACAGGCGCTGTACTTGTGACATACGAGAGCTCTGTGGAGGAACTGTATTTTGCTTGTGACCTACAAGGCCTTTGACTTCTGCTTTCAAACCGTATTCCTTATTTTCAGCTACATTTTACCGCATGAGCAGTTTTTCAGATCCACAAGGTCGTCTGTCACTAAGCCCCCTGAAACCTTTAGGCAATGCTCAAACAAACCGCTTGGTTAAGATGACACTTCAACAGAAGGACGATTCACAAATAAGCCCCACCAAGAAAGACGAGCAAAACATTTTGAGCAAAACGCTGGGCTGCTGGAGGAGCACCCAACGGGCCAGTCAAAAGAAACCCTTTGTGGAATGCTGCGGAGAGAAGGCAAACCAAGTGACTGGAGAGCGGCCCGGCTAGACAGCGAGACGGTGCTGGAAGGAGCGTCTGTCGGTGCGAGGGGGATTCCGATTCAGGCACAGGGCTGGGCACGTCCTGGGAAGTGACCCAATCTTCTGCAGCTCTCTGCACAGCCTGAACAACCGTGGCGGAGGGGTCCTGCTCTTTGGCACTATCAACAGAAGTTTCCCCACAGGGCCCTGGACAGGCATGGAGACGGCACTCTCTGATTCTCTGGGGACTCTTTTAGGGTGACTGACAGGTTGTTTTGGTTTAATACCGTATGCTAATGAGCACCTGGGGTGTGTCCTTCGATCATTTCATATATATCCATTTAGACCAATGAACAGTGGACCCGACATATGTACCGACTGCAAATTACTAGCTACCACCCTGACCATGACAGCCAAAAGTTACCTGGAGCACATGTTTATGGACAAAACCTTGGACATCCTCCTCCTCACACACTCCAATCCAAAGCAAACAGAGAAGAGAGACCTGGATCCTACCATGGCTCTTGTATGTGGTTTTTCTGATACTCTCTAAGTGGCACATTCCAATTTCTCTCCTGCTCCAGTCACAAGGCACCCAGGTAACGGCAGGGCACGTTTACGCACACTGCACGGGCAGCGCCCCAGCAGAATGACTGCGGGAGAGCATGCCCACGCGGGGCCATGCCATTCAGACATTCCCAGAGTGCTGGCAACAGACTTCGCGTTTCAAAGCGTGATGAGATGCCTGATGGGTTCTGTTCTGCACCGTGCTCCACTGGCAGCAGCGCTTCCGGCACGGCTCCTTTGAGTCCCCACAGCTGTTCTCCAACCCACCTGCAATCTGGAACGAGGGCCTGGGCTACGGCTGCCCAGCCACACCATGATGCCTGTAGCACCCAAGCAGCCACTGGCGGCTGGAGGGTTTTCATGCAAACCCGTTATTCCAATGAATGGGACTTCTCGGCTTCTCGACGTGATCGGGGGGGAGCGCTCCCTACACATGGGGCTGGGCAGAGCGTTGTGCTGCTTCCTGGAGCGCAGGGAGCAGAGGGAGGAGAAGAGGCCAGGGAGGCCGGCGGGCCGCGGGGGGGTGTGTGGACTAGAGGGACCCGGGAAGATCGATGCAGCAGGCGAGGAAGAAGCAGCCCTGGGAACGGAGAGGGGGTTGTTCTGGGGGATGGGGAGAAGCGGCTGGGGGGCCCAGCGCTGGTGCTCCCAGCGCTGGTGCTGCAGGCTGGGGAGAAGATCCAAGTTAGCTGGGAGTGGGGAACACAGGGACGTTGGGAGGGGAAAGGCTGGAGAGCCCAGGGCGGCTCTGCAGGGCTGGTGCCCCCGCGGTTGTGGGGGCAGAGGGCTTCCAACCCCCCTGGGCTGGACCCCACTGGCAGGGAGGGAGCGGGACGCGGGCGGCGCGAGCACGGCCCGGAGCAGCCGGGGGGAGCGGTGCTTAGAAGGGGAACTCGCACTTCTCCCCAGCCCCTGGCTGCGCGGCCGCCCCGCTGCTGGGAGCCCCCCGGCCTGGGGAGCGCGGGAGCAGCAGGGCCCTGGAGCCGGCGCGCTGAACGTCCCCTCCCAAGGCAAAGGCAGCCCAGGGCCCCACTGCGCGGGAGGCACCGACGGCTGCTCCGGGCTCCTAGAGCTGCGCCCCCCTCCCTGCGCCGGGGGCTCTCGGCTGTTCCCTGCTCGCCACGCTAAGCCCCCGGCCTGCCTGACGTTTCCCCGGGGCGTCCAGCCAGTGACTCAGCCGCTCCAATGGCGAAGCCGGGCCCCTCTTTTCTGCAGGCCCCCCCCTTTCTCCACCGCACTCCACCGTCCTCAGCAGTGACCTCTCTGGCCCCGGCCATCGCTGCATCTGGCCTCTCCGCGTCACCAAAGCGCCTTTCCCAGCCTTCCACGGCTCAGTCCTGCCGGTCCCCGGCCGTGGCACGTACAACGCCCGGCTCGTTCTTACCTAGGGTGCTGCTGCAGCAGGAAACAGCCACAAAGACTCCTCGCCCGAAGAGGGAAACTGGCGCGTTTCGTTTGCAGACCAGACCGAAGGCCTGGGGCGGGGAGACTCCACACACGGCTTGGGGCCACTGGACAACTGCCCTCCGTGTTCACTGCAGGCGGGACAAGGTGCAGGGGCTTAATTGCAGCCAGGGAGAGCCCGGTCAGGCATTAGGGCAAACTTCCCAACAGCTAAGCTTGGGGACAGGCCTCTGAGTGACACTGCAGAAAACCTGATTGGAGGGTTTTTAAAACAGATTGGATACAACACCGCTCAGGGCTGGTCCAGTTTACTTGGTCCTGCCTCCGTGTTGGGGGATGGGAACGGGCCAGAGGGCCTCTCAAGGTCTCTTCTGGCCCGACATTTCAAGGATTACTATAGAGTTTTCCAAAACAAGCAGGTCCCAGGATATTGCCAGATTGGAACAGACTAAGAGCCATCTAGACCCCTGACACCAAACTCTGCCAGATGCCTCAAAAGAAGCCAAAATGCCCCAATAACACACCTGGCCAGTATCCTGCTGGACACATTTCCCTCTGCCCAAGAACTTGGAGTACTGCTAAGGATGCATGAATGGTGCAGGGAGCAACACCCCAGGAGGGTTGCTTCCACCGTTTCCGTTATTTGGGGATTAACTGAGGAACGTTCACTGCTGTACGAGCATCTAGGACCACCAGCACGGGAGTTTCAGAACTGCTTGTGACAATCACTATGTGAAGAATTATCTTTGAAATGAATTAGCACTTACAGCTTGCCCCTTCGCTTCAGAAAGCAATACCTCTTCCCCAACCAGGCAGTAAGGGCACCTGGATTATGACTAGACTGGGGAAAGGACCAATGAAAATCGATCTGTTCCAAATACAAGAGTTTTGTCCACAATTTGAGACAAGAAAACAATTTTTGCTTTCACATAAAGTCACTGGCATAAGTGAGAACAGAGTTACAGCCAGAGACTTTAACAAGCCTTTATGCGAACTAGATAACCCTAAAAACCTCACATAAGTCTGTCACTGGAGGTACGTCTACACTGCAATGCTATTTCGGGATACCGGAGTACCCCAAAATAGATATCCCTCATCTTCACAGCAAGCCCATTATTTCAGGCTCGCTATTCCTACATCCCTGTGAACCTCATTCTTTGAGGAGTAAGGGACGTTTTGGAATAGAGCCTTATATTGAAATCTGGCACTATTTTATAACAACTATTTACAGGGCTTACAGGAAAGCTCACATACATTTCAGTACAGCATAAAGAAGGATTTTAAAAAATTCTTTAATATTTTAAAATGGGTATTTTCTAAACTCTCCTTTTTAGTAACCATCTGCACCTAACCTCGTTTCAGTTCGTAGAAGTATCTTGGTCTACAGCTTGAGACTTTACATTACAATTTCAGGAAACTCCTTCTTTACATGGGGTTCAAACCAGAAGCAGCCTATTTCTGAAAAGTCTCGTGCCCGGCCCAGGCTAACAGCCTACGGCCTGTGAAAGGTAAAGCAACAGAAAGAATCAGCCACATTTCTAATTCTAACCTTGCAGTAAAGCTCCCCTACAAACATGCCCTGCGACAGGCACATGCAGGCCCCCATTTACTTACCGTCTGTCCAGCTATCCCTACGAGTTCTGCACAGTCCGAAATCCACCTTTCAGAAAGACAACAGCTAAGTCAAGCCCCAGAGTTTAAACTGTTTATGTTGCAGGAAAAAACGCTCCTCCCCCAGAGCCCAGCTGGCAGATTCACGTTAATATTTCAAATTAAAAGTCCGTGCCCAGTGTGTACAGGAGAGAAGCATGGAGGGGAGAGAGTGGTTCCAGGCGTAAGAATATGTACATGTCGTTTGATATGACCAGATGGCTAAGAAATAACATTCTGTCAAGTGTGGAGTTTAAAACATTCTTTGGACTCTTGTTTTGTGTGGAGTTTCCACCAGCAGCCTAGTAAGGAAGCTGCAATCTCTGCTCCCCTATGGTTAGTTTTCAATTTCACTTTAAAACATATCCCCTGTCCCACTACAGATACGAAATCCAGATATTAAGGAAGTTTTGAAGTTATCAAGTCTGGAAGAGGGCAGAATCATGCCGTCGCACACACAAATACACATGCAATGGTGTGTCCTGTGCCTTTTCATTGACTCCGCTGGATTTGCATGCAAATTACTGAGGATAAATCAGACAGTTGCATGTGCAAATGACAATTTAGACACCCAGCGGAAAAGCTACAAATACCTGATTCACACACACACACACACACACACACACACACACACACACACACACACACACACAACAGTGGAACCTGCACACAGAATTGCAAAGACATTGCTGCATGTGGTACTGACATTCTACTCTACTCTACTCAAAAACTTTTGTTGTCCCTAAATACTTTCATATAAGGCACATTACTGGATTTCTCAGGAAGAATCAAATGAAAGTATCAGTTAGGAGAACTCGAGAAGTGCTCTTTTTCTGCGAAACCTAATGGTCAAATATTTGCATTTCAATACAGTGTGGTAAGATGTGGCGATATTAACATTTTTGTTCTGACGCATATCAATGGTAAAGCACATGGCTACTTGTCCGGGTAAATTTTAAATCGGAATGTACTAAAGATAAATTGAGTCATGTATCTAGTGTAATTAAAACAATTTTTTCTAAAAATAAAAGTTTCTGACATGTTAATTCTAACTGCTTGTCCTTAACTTACTAACCATATTTTTGTAATGTGCTTCAAATAATTACAGTGCAGTGGACATATTTAGTATTTTTGTTTGGGGGAACAAATCAGGAACTCCCGAAAAAGGACTAATCCACTAGAGGAAGTTTTTAAAATGTGAAAGATTCAAGTCAAGAGGCATAACCTTACTGAAGGCAATTCTGGTTGTATTATGTTTATAACCACAGTCACCTTGAAGAAGCAGGGACTATAATTATGTATGACTATTTGATGTCAGGTCCTATTAATGTACAGATGCTTTAAGAATTTGTACAGGTATGTATTTGGGGCAAAGTGTACCATACACACACATTTGCCCAGTACAACTAAAACAGGATTGCTCCTCTCACACCAGGGATAATCAGACCTAATTCTTCTGAAGTCAATGAATTACATCTATGTGAAAGTATAAACAAAAAGGCAGACTCGGGGCCACTGTATTACAATTTGAAGCATGTTAATATTTTAATATCCAAATTCCTTTTAAGATAGCTGTTATATGAGAACAATCTCCTAAGGCAACTTTAAAATTCCTAATTTCTTCTCATACTTTGAGATTGTTTCCTATGCAGTGTCTTTTGATGGTTCCCATGCAATTTCAGCATACAAGAGTTACTCCCCCAAACTCTTATTCTAAAAAGGCTGTGTCAGTTTAAAACTCCACCTTCTCTCCTTGGAAGGAGAGCCAATAAGTAACTGCTAGCAAGCTCATTCCCATCTCATCTGCTGCTCTTTAACTGCCACTGACTTTTAACCCGTGCAAGAAAAACAAAAATAAAAAGGCTGATTCTAGAAAGCTCTGTTAAAAATAGCGCATCTATTTATTGCAGACACCCCTTGTGACTCTGGCGCATACTCAGATTTCTTGAAAGCAAGCCAGGGAACTATCAGATTGCTTAACTGAAATCAAAGGGTTCATAATTTAAAAAACAAGGTTTTCCGACTGAAGCCAGGAAAAGCTAGGAGTGTAAAAGGACAAAGCCGTCCCTGGAGTGGGCACGCTAGACAAGTCCAGCTGAATGAAGCAAAAGGCAAAGCGACAGATATAAAGCGCAAAATGAATGCAAAGTCCATGTTCAAAGGCCTGGGCCCTGTTGCAAGCCGTGTAAGTAATAGTTTGTTTACTTTGCCACGGGAGGCCCACAGCGGTTTTATTTAGCCCAATTACAGCTCACCCAGGAAATATGTTTTGCTGACTTATTTTCTGGGGCCACACAGCAACAGCTGGGGTAAGTCTGCAGAGCACCAATCCATGGTTGTAAGCCAATTTGTTAAACAGCTGAGGATTTGATCCTTTGTTTTTAGTAGCTGCAAATGTTTTGCTTCCTGTGTCGTAACAGCTAAGGTTTACTACAGTGCACTGGCAGGCTTTGTTGACATGCCGCAATGAATTTGGGACACAGAACACTTATAAATAAATGTGCTTTCTAGGAATATGTCAACAGCATCCTTAGATACAGGACTAATAACTATCTCCTCCTCATTAGCATAACTTTTTTTTAGCAAAATCTGTTGGGAAATCTGTTGCTGGAAATCCACAAAGACATAAAATTGTGCAAAATTCCTAACTGAGCAATCCAATGGAGGGATGTAAAAAAGCAGCCGGGTCGACTACTCTCATCCCCCCCTCCACTGCCACTATATGGGTATGTCTACACTAGGTCGGTAGTTCAAGCTAGGTAGGTAAATGAGGGCAAGCGGAGTAACAAATGAAGCCCGGGCTTTATTTGCATCTTCCCAGGCGCCGCCATTTTTAAATCCCCCTTAGTCCAAACTCCGTGCCCGCGGCTACACGCAACACGAAGTAGGTAGTTCGAATTAGGATCTCTAATTCGAACTACTGGTACATCTCGTTCCTGGAACGTGTAGCCACGGGCACGGAGTTCAGACTAAGGGGGATTTAAAAATGGCGGTACCTGGGAAGATGCAAATGAAGCCCGGGATATTTAAATCCCGGGCTTCATTTGCTACTCCGCTTGCCCTCATTTACCTACCGAGCTAGTGTAGACGTACCCTATCAGAGGAGGCAATGGGGGGAGGGGGAAAGCAGGAGCTGGGAGGAGCAGGCTTAAAAGCCATTTCCCCTAGCACTGTCTCTGCAGGGGAGGAGAGAGGAGACAGGGGAGGCAGAGGTGCAGAAGTGCTGCTGCCTTTTAAATGTAGTAAGAACCGCCCAGTTCTTGCTACATTTAAAAGGCAGAGGTACAGCGGGGGACTGGGCACGAGCTGGGACTCAGCTGTCCCAGCTTGCGTTTGGTCCAGAAGCTGCATGTCTGCTGTTGAAATTCCAAGGCGATCTCGACTCCAAGACGCACAGACAGGTGCCTAGGTGACATGATGGTCAAGTAGGTGCCCACACTTGCTTCTCAATACAGCTACTCTTGAAACAAAAAGCTTCTAAGGTCGCTGCAGAATTCAGCACAACCCATTCAGGCTCCTTTTAAATGTATTTCATTTGTCAACATGCATTTTATGCCAATTTTGGGGTGCAAGTTGAGGCCGGTTTCGTGAGCCCTCACCTCACAGGGGAAGGGGGGAGGAAAATCTGGGATGGTTAGGAATTTCTGCACCCGTCTGCGGAGCAATCTGGTGGTTCACGTGTTGAGAAGCGCGACGTGGGCGCACGCCAGGGCACCTGTGTGCGACTGCACTTAAAATCCGCTGTGCCGCACAGCTCCGGAGATGGGCAGTGTCCAGAATCTCTCCGCCCTCTTCCAGATGGGAACCCAGGCCAGACCAGCAATGCCAAACACCGCTGACAGCTAATGGCTGTCCTGTGGCTGGTGGCAAATCAGTTTGATGTTCTCAGACCAGTTACCAAGACACCAAAGTCCACTTTTGTCCCCACTGCTCGCCAGAGAGACAAGGCACAGGTGGACAAGAAGCCTGAACAGCCCCTCCCTCCCACGCTGTGCTAGGGTGTGCGCTGGAGAAGCAGCATGGCGTTGGCATGGCTTTGTCAAAGCTCCGCTTGCTCTGTGGATGAACAGAGGATGTCGACCCGCCTGTTGTCAACCCAGCGCTTGGCAGGGGCAGGAGCAGGAGCATCGACGGCAGGGCTGCCATGTGGCTGGGGTGTGACGGGAATTCCCAGTCGAAAAGGGAACCCAGTGACTCAGCAGAGGGTTAAAGGTGGCGCGGCGAAGCTAAGGCAGGATCTCTGCCCGTCTGGCTCCATCTCACTCCCAGAGGTCCCCTAAGTGCAGGGGCTGCACCTAGGAAGCGGCGGACGTGCCGCCATGACCGAGAGCCACCTGAGCTTACTCATCGCTTGGAGCTCTCCTCACACCCCGAGCCCCTTCCCCGCTAGGGATGTGTTAAATTAAGTAACCATGTCACTGAACATTTCAGAAGTTACTTGGTTACACATGGGAGGCAGTTGGCTCCCTGGGGGTTGGTGTACACGGAGGGCCGGTGTGCATGGGGGGCCGGTGTGCACGGGGGGAGGCCGGGGTGCACGGGGGGGGCCAGCTTTTAAATCGGCTCCTGCGCATTCCAGGAGCCTGCATGTAACCGTGCACATGGTTACACTTTCACACCCTGACTTCCCACACCCAAACTCCCTCCCATAGCTTGCACCCCATACCCTAGCCTTGAACCCCCTCCTGCACTCTGAACCCCTCAGACCTAGCCTGGAGCCCCTGCCTGCATCCCCAACGTCCTCATCCCCAGCTCCACCCCCGAGCCCCAACTCCCATCTGGAGACTCTCCCCACTTCCCTGTCCCAGCCTGGAGACAATGGGTGAGTGGGGTAATGGAGTGAGCGGGGGTTGTGGTCCTGGAGCTGAGTTAGGGTGCTCGGTTTTCTGCAATTAGAAAGTTGGTGACCCTACTTTATTCATACAAAGCTCTTTTTTAAAGTTTTTTCTCACCCTAATGAAAAGTAACATCAAGTGGCATGGGAAGAACTTTTATAACTGGATAGTAAAATGTATCCTGCGTGAATAAGAGTTTAACTGCAGTAGAACCCTCCCTCCCTTTCAATAGTAGTACAGGGCTTCCCGGAGAGGTTT